TCTTTCTTCTCCTCCTCCGTTGCTTCAAACGGATACACCCTCAGCTTATAGCAAAAATTCTTCTTGTCAACCCCTAAGTACATGACTTTGCACTATTAAATTTAATTCCATTTCTATTACTCCAGTTTTCAAGGTCATCCAAATCTTCTTGTAGGATATTCTGGTCCTCCTCCATTTAGCAATACCTCCCAACTTTGTGTTATCTGCAGATGTTATTAAATCACTGTCAAGTTGTCTTGAGTGGCTCAGAGTGTGAGTACCAACCTCAGGGCAGACTGAAAAAGCAGGGTACAAACCCCAAATTGGCTGAGAGTTTTATGCTTAGATTTCACCAACCAAGTATCAAGTGTGAACACCTCAGGTACTAGAACAGCCTATAACGTTCCCTTGGGTACTCCAGTTTATCTTGCCACCAGCTTGCCTTTGTGATAGATGGTCCCTTACACCAAAACATCACAACTATGTTCAGGTTACTCCCAGTCTTAAAGGACTAGTCACTTACCCCAGGTCAACTGTACCTTAGCTCCTACCCCACAGACAACTCTTGTAGCCCATCCTATAAACAACCAACTAAAGATTTATTAATGAAGTAAAGAAATGAGCATTATTTACAAGGTTAAATCAGGTAACACGCAGATAAATGAGTTACAGTCTTATGTTCCAAAAGGGTAATAGCTTGCATATTACAGCAGCTTCTCTATATATCCTTTAGGGCTAATCCACATGGAGTACTCTTGCTTAGAAATCTTCCCCCCTCAGAATTCAAGCAGCAGAGAGATACAGTTCCTCTTGTCAGGGATTTTATTGCCTTCCCCCAAAGTTCAAGATGATGGAATGACTCCACCTGCACATCTCCTCTTCATGGGTGCATGTGGGGGGAGGGATCAATCAACAAAGTCTTTATCCTTTGATGTTTCACAACAGCTCATTTGATTTCAATGGGCCTTTTTCTGTGCAGGACCTAACACCTTCTGTAGGAAGCCAGCCTGTACATCAGTGGTCCCCAAACTGTGAGATGCACTCCCCTAAGGGCATGGAGGGGCCCCACCCTGCCCCTAGCTCCGCTCTGGCTCCCAACCACAGTTTCAAGGGGCAGACGGGCACACATACAGTTTCCATTACGGGTAAGGTGGGGTGCAATGGAAAGTTTTGGAACATCAGCTTTACATTAATGAATGCTTCTTTCTTGTTTGAAGATACAAAAGTTTACATGCAAACACTCAATATGACCATGTAACATGAGGTATAGATGTTAAGTGAAATTAATACAGTCAGCATCCTACAAGCATTTCATAAAGTCATTTTTATAAATCTAATACCTATTTTAATAATACTAACACCCAGATGAGCCAGACTGGTTTCCAGCTATGCATTCAGCAGTGTTCATTTGGGGCCTAGGGACCTTGGTATGAGCTGGCATCTGGTCTACCCGCATCACACATTCCCATTTTGTTCACCAAGGTCATTAATGAAAATGTTAAATAAGACTGGTCTCAAGATGAATCCTTGAGGAACTCCACTAGTAACTTCCCTCTAGCCTGACCTTTCAGCATGACTGATTGGAGTCTACTATTTAACCAGTTCTTTGCTCACCTTTCAGTTCATTAATCCCCATCTTCTCTAATTTAATTAATAATTTCCCACATGGAACTGTAACAAATGCTTTACTGTAATCCAGGTAGATTAGATCTATTGCATTTCCTTTGTCTAGAAAATCAGTTATCTTCTCAAAAAGAGAGCAGGTTGGTCTGGCACAAACTACCATGTTGTATTTTATCCAAATTATCTTTTATCTCTATGTCCTTAACTCCCCTCTCTTTCAAAATGTGTTTCAAGACCTTACATACAATTTAGGTCAAACCAGGGCCGGCTCTAGGATTTTTGCCCCCCCCCCCCCGTTTTTTTCTTACCCCACCCCCGGCCCCGCCTCAGCTCCGCCCCTTCCCCAAATCCCCAGCCCTGCCTCCTCCCCCCAGGCTCTCAAGCCTAGGAGGGAGGGGGAGAAGCGGCTCGCGCCACGGCCACTCAGGATCTCCCCCTCCCTCCCAGGCTCTCAAGCCTGGGAGGGAGGGGGAGCAGCGGCGCGCGAATCTGCTGTTTCGCGTGCCGCGGCCGCTCGGGATCTCCCCCTCCCTCCCAGGTTTGAGAGCCTGGGCGGGAGGGGGAGCCCCGGCGCGCGAATTGGCTGTTTCGGGCACTGTGGCGTGCGAGCGGCAGCAGCGGAGATGAGCTAAGGCGGCCGGGGCACATTTTTAGGGGCGGCATTCTGGCGCTGGCCATGCTGCCCCTAAAAATGTGCCGCCCCAAGCACCAGCTTGTTTTGCTGGTGCCTAGAGCCGGCCCTGGGTCAAACTAACAGGCCTGTAATTTGCTGGCTCACTTTTTTCTTCCTTTCTTAAATATAGGTACTATATTTGCAATTCCAGTCATAGGGTATGACCCCTAAATTTTATGGATTCATTACCAATCCTTTTTATTGGGCTTCCAATTTCATGTACCAGTTCCTTTCATATTCTTAGATGGAGATTATCTGGACCTGCTGATTTGGTACCATTAAGCTGTTTGAGTTTGGCTTCCACCTCCGATGTGTTCATGTCTACTTCCATACCCTTATTCCTATTTGCCACCCTGCTACTGGCCCCAAGCTCCATGTTAACCTTATTAAAAAGGGAGGCAAAGTATTCATTTAGGGCCATACCTAAATTTTTAATCTCCACCCTATCCTCCATGCCCTCCTTCCACATTCTGTAGTAAAAGGCTAAACAGTCCTTGGACTGAAGTCCCCTTGTCTCCATTGGTTTATTATAGCCATCCCCACCTCAGAAGAAGATTTTCAACCTCTTCTCTAGTATGCATTCCAAGTGACAGAGGGTACTTGCTCTTTCAGCCCCGGCACGCTACTGCCTCCAGGCAGAAGTCTTTTCCTGCAATAGAATTTTGACTACATGCACGTCCTGATCTTAGGATAGAGTGGAACCAGGTATGATAAATACTGGATCACAATAGGAAGGCAACACTATTTTAATTCTAATTCTTAAGGAGCCTTGTTTTGCCTACAGAACATGAGCAGGAGCTGAGTCCAAAGGCTTGAGTGAGTACTGAGTGAAAATGCCTTTAATTAACTAGGCAGCATGACTGGAGGTATGTCAACAATAGAGTTAAACACCTACAGCTGGACCATGTCAGCTGACCTCCACTTGCAGGGCTCAGGCTGCAAGGTTATAAAGTCACAGCGTAAATGTTCATTTACAGCCCCACAACTTGAGGCAGCTGACATGGGCCAGCTGTGGGTGTTTTACTCCACTATAAACAAACCAACAATCTACTTGATTTAGGTTAAGTAATGCAAACCCACAGCAGAGAGAAGGGCCACTGCAATACAGGCAAGAGGAACAGCTAATGTGTTTGATAACTTTGACACAAGTGCCACAACATCCAGCTCCTTGAGTGTAACAAGTACACCTTCGGTAGGACTAGGAATGAACCTAGATTATACTTAAATTCTTAAGCTAGTCAATGGGGTAGTAAAACTAGCTTCACATCTGTACTTACCCAGAGTGGAATGCTTTCCCTGACTAGTTTTAACCATACTAATCAAAGCAGCATACCACCTTTGCAATATTGTCCAGTTACAGACTGTATAGCGTTACCCCTCCTTGACTGTTAGCCCCCAAAGGAAAGCTATGCCTATTACCACAGGGTAATATTTAGCGTAGCTGTAATTTGGAAGATTGACCTCCCCCCTTACACACAAATATGGAACCTGTTTTCCCTGTATCTACAGAAGGGTAGCATCTGAACATGGGGGAAATGACCTATGACAAATTTGCAGAATGTCATAGTACCATAGCTACAAGAGAGGCCATTAACACAAGAAGCCTGATTTGATGCAATATTGGAAGGGTAAATGTATTGAGTTAGGAACAGCAGTGTGAAGGTCTTACTGAGATCATTAATACCAACATAGTATTTCACATGGCAGGCTAGCTAGTAATTAGTTACTGGATCTCATGGAATTGATTCTTTCCATGAGGTTGTGTGTGCTTGTACAGTGGCTGATGTGCATCCTTAAAGACTGAATATTGGAACTTGTAGCATCTCTTGAAGAGGCCATTAGCAAGGACAACTGCTAGAGGTACATCTTCTAGAATTTGTCTTTTAACAGTTTGCTATCATGGATAATTACAATTTAAGGAACGCGATAATGTGTTGATTCAGAAGGTAATTATAAACATAATTGTTACTGAAGATGCTACTGTGTGTACAGCTTCTAGCTGTATTTAGAGTGGATGTTCTGCAAGTCCAGTTCTCAAAAAAATAAGCTCCTAAATATAAAATTTAGGAATTGTAAGTGTGCCTTTAAGGGTGCCTTAACAGATGGGACAAACTGCAATTTCAGTTGAGACTTATGAATCTCATTGTTTTAGAGAAAGGAAGCGTGTAAGTATTCTAGGCATAAGACACTAAGCCAGTTTATTCAATGCAGGACTGGAAATTGTAAATACTGAGTTAAGAGAAATGCAAGTGATCCTCAAGATGTAAATCTACACAGTTTGTGCTGCTTTAATTCACATTTTAGAAGCCACTACAGTTAGCAGTGCATAAACCTGTGGGGCTGTACTTACATGGATATAGTTTCAGTATGCTTACAGGGCAATGGTTATACATATTAGCACTGTAATGCAAAAAAAAAAAAAAAAAGGTTAAAAAAACATAAAAAAAAAAAAAAAAAAAAAAAAAAAAGTGTATGCCAGCCTTAAAAAAAAAAAGTGGTAAGGGCAGCTCTATTTCTACTACCTTTAAACTAATTATTTTAATCAGATAATTAGACAGAGCTCACTGCACCAGATCCTATGGTACTGAAAAAAAAAAAGTTATTTATTTACATTGATACAGAGTGAAACATAATTTAACTGGGAATTTGAGTGCCAAGGGGGTGAACACTTATGAACAGTACTGAGGATATAAAAGAAACTTAAAAGCCACACAGAATTCATTCAGAAGGTGCAACATGGTTGTTTACTCACAAGACAATTAAGTCTTGATCCATGCAGGGGTATCAACCACTTGGTACAAAGAGTCCATGCTTCCATGTATACCTTTTCTTCATTTTGGATATCTGTGTAGGGGGGGAAGGAACTTCTGTCCAATTCCCACACATTAGACCTCTTTCTATTCACTGCATTAAAAAGACTAAAGACTCCGATCATATTTACAATTGTCACATCATTATCTTACAATGAAAGATCTGCAAGTGTGCCAAAGGGCAAAGGTTAGATTCATGTTTGTCCATTAAAGTGAACTTCTCATCTACTTTAATTTAAGATCATGAAGCTCTCTTTAGAATTGGACAGGAGAATGTTTGGTGTGAAAAGGTGCAACTGATATTAGAAGTGAGATGGCTTGTTAGTGCTTTGAGCTTGTACACATGCCATCTTCCTCATATTCACCCATCAGCTGCAACATATAAGATCCAGTGTAGAGAAGAAACTGCCCAGTTATTTGTGCCACATGGGACACAAACCGAAGCATTCTCCTAGAAGAGAAAAAAAATTTAACAATGTCATTTCTAAAAGAAAGTCTTAGAATGCTGCATCATGTTTCAGGACACATAGGGCTCTTTTAGGATGAGTCATATTTATAAGAATCCTCACATTCCATCCACTTCTAGCCATTGTTTGGCAACAAACATTACACCAAGGCCTGATTCTGCAGTCACAACATAAGCAACTCCCACTGAGTGGGAAGGAAGCTGTTTGCATGTAGCAGAGTTAGGGCCTGCAAGAGAAATTTAAGTTATGCAGACAAAGCAGTTACCTGAGTATCAGCAGAACATTCCAAATACCCTTACTGGGATTGCCATGTTTCCATTAATGACTTCAGGTAATCAGGAAGTCAATTTGAGCCCTGCAGCATTAATCCATTTTACCTGTTAGTATAGTACAAGGTGGGAAGTAAGGAGGAATGCCAGCTACAGAACCACCACTGACATGTCTATTCAAGTATTGACCAGGTCTTATACTTGAGCACTCACATTGGCTTGTTTGGCTGCAGTGAACTTACATATGTAATACTAATGGAGCTGAGAATCTTAAAGCTTTGTCCTCCCAATTCGCCAGTATTAATTACTGCTTACATTCCAGAGTGAATTACTGGCTTGAAACATGTATTGGTCTTTGAGCCTGCCTAAAGCTGCAAGACCCATAAAACTAAGGCAATGTAAGCACTATTATCAGGACCCACAGGTTTTGGTGCAAGTTCCAGGGGTATAGAGAAGATAAAGCTGAACACTTGGGGTATTCATGATCTCTTGGTACATACACTTTGTACACCAGCCTCCAGTCACCCCTTAGAGTGATATTTTCTAAGAATGAGAAAACCAGACCATCTAGACTAGGAACTACACTGAGTTCAGCTTTCTGTACTCGCTCTGAGTCTGTATATTTACAATTCTGCTTTCTCTCTCTCTAAACCAGGGGTCGGCAACCTTTCAGAAGTGGTGTGCTGAGTCTTCATTTATTCACCCTAATTTAAGGTTTCGCGTGCCAGTAATACATTTTAATGTTTTTAGAAGGTCTCTTTCTAGAAGTCTATAATATATAACTAAACTATTGTATGTAAAGTAAATAAGGTTTTTAAAATGTTTAAGAAGCTTCATTTAAAATTAAATTAAAATGCAGGGCCTCCCAGACTGGTGGTCAGGACCCAGGCAGTGTGAGTGCCACTGAAAATCAGCTCGCGTGCCGCCTTTGGTGCATGTGCCATAGGTTGCCTACCCCTGCTCTAAACCCAAATGAATCTTTTAGACTCAAGTACCTGGAAGTTACCTGAACTCACAGCTACAAGCTAAATATACTAGGAAGCAGAGAACAAGGGAAAGGGAACAAAGTACAGTAATAATCAGAGGGCTAGTCAAACTCAACCATTGCTCTATGAATGAGATCCTCTTCCCCACCCCTCCCCCTAACAATTCCTTAGAAGATAGGAACTAGGCCAACACTCCCCCTTCCTCAAAATAAAGCCTCACTTCTCTTGTCTGCCTAGCTTGCCTAGCCCTGAGTAAGGACCAATGTAAGTGATCTACTAGTACTACCCACTTCTAGGATTCCTGTTTAATGCAGAAGGCAGATCCTCTTATCCTACAATCCTCCCTGATTGCCTATGGGAAGTTCATTGTTCTCTCAACAGGAAGACAGACAATTTAGGTTTTTTTTTTTGGCAGTCAGCAATTCACTCTACAGAAGTTGAATAAAGATCTCTCAGGAACTTGGCAGTGCTTTAAAGACCATTCCTTTTTCATGATATGCAAGGCACCTATTTGATATAGCTTCAGTATGTTCTTTTCAATTAGTCTGCTGGGACTGGCCAAGTGACTTTATGGAACCAGGTGCAGCCTTCTTAGGCCTCCATGCAGCTGAGTCTTACAACAGCTGCAATGTGTGTGACAACTGGCCGTGGGTGCCAGTGGCATTTTTAGCTGTGGAGGAGATGGTTATTTGTTGGTCTGGACATTTGATCCTTTCTTTGATAAGAAAATAAGAAATAGAAAATTCATCAAGTTTGATGGCATGTAAGGGGCTCCCTGCCTGCCAAGTGAACATTCACAGTATGAGACTTCAGAATCAAGAGAACACATTTTTCAAGGGACTCTTTAGACTCCAGTGCAGAGTTTGTCTTCAGCTTGCAGCTACTTGGGATAGGCTCTTATCTTCCTTCCAGCTAGCCCTTTGCAGGACTTGCTTGCACGTACTGGCCCTAGAACGGTCTTATTGTAATATAGCTATGCTTGTAGCAGGACTCCAGATACCTCAGCTGTCTGCCTGCTGCTTTTTGCAGCACTTCCTGTATCAGCTTCTCTCAGCAGCTGCAGCATGCTGGCAAGAGTTTGGAGGAACTATCACTTAAAATTCCCTCTTACAATGCAAGTTCCATTGTCAGAGTCCAAACCCATAACTGTTAATTGAATTAAAGATTGGCACAAGACATTAGTCCCCACTTGTCACAAGGGGACAGTGTTTAGTTCTGTTAAACAAAGTTCTGCACTCAGTTACCCATCCAGCCCCACTGAAATCAGTGCTGGGCAAGGGTATAATACATGGCATAACTGGACCCTCATTTAAATCCAAGACTGAGAATCCAGACATTAAGGGATAGACTATCAGTCTATGCCAATTTTAGGCCAGTGTCTTTAGTCTTAAGTTACATAGGATTTGAGGGGTCAGAACTTTGTCAGACAGGTGCAGAAAGGTGTGCTGTTTGCAATTTAGAACTCTTTCATCTCGGTCAGTAAGCCATTGTCTTTTGAAGTCCTCACTTAAGTGATACAGAATATCTTCAAGTTCATGTAGTTTCAACCTATAACTAATAGGCCTTCTACACTCTGGCAGAGTAGGTAGAATATTTGCTTCCATCTTCACCCAGGGAGTGTCAATATATGCTATTAAAAAGTATCTGCATTTCAGTATTTGAAGGGATACACTTAGCCCAAACTGCTCTGTATCAGGGAGAGGCAGTTCACTTGGGAACCAAGACATCCCACAATCAGGGCCAGCGCAGCCCATTAGGCGACCTAGGCGGTCACCTAGGACGCTACAATTTGGGGGGCAGTGACTGCGGTGGTATTTCGGCAGCAGGACCTTCCGCTGGCTCTGTGGGGGGTGGCATTTTGGGGCGGGACCTTCTGCCGCCCTAGGGCGGCAGAAAAGCTGGCGGCGCTCCTGCCCACAATCTTATTCAGATATGTGAAATCCACCTAAAGATAATAAAAAGTTCACTTTACACCCCTCATTTCTCTATTTTCTCCATGCCCTAAAGGTTACTGTTATTCAGTCCTTCATTTCACTACACTGAAGTAGTTTTGATTTCAACTAAAGGAACTTGGCATCCTTCCCAACAAGTCAGCCTTCAACCACCAGGTACTGTACATAAACTGGTTTTGCTTATAACACTTCCATTTGTAATATCTTACTCTTGTGGTAAGGTTCTATTTTAAATTTCTGCCACAGAACCTTAGCTCTTAGATACATAAAAGTCATTGTAAAATAAAAAAAAAAGAAAAAAAGCTAAGAATGGCTATTGCAGAGTGCTGTGTCATGGGCAGGAAACAGTCTAAAAATGCCTTTGCCTCTAGTAGTGAATGCTGACATGGGTAACCAGTTAGCATCTTCATTGTGGGATAATTTAAAGTTCATGCTCCTTTGAGACTTGTTTCAGTTTATATCTACTTTATTACCCCCACTGACAAATAGGAATGCATACTTACCGCAGCACAGTCTTTGCTCCCATACATTTGATGTCATATGACACAGAGTAGATTTCATAGAAAGTAGCTCTAATGTTTAGACAGCCAATAAAATCCTTTGGATTCAGCTTGTACAAGTCCAGAGTAATGTTGGCTACCCCCATTTTCTTATTCTGCTGTACAGCGAGGATATAATTTTCTCCCTAATTTAAAGAGACATTTAATTTTATGCTATATTAGTAGAGGCAATAGCATAGAGAATATACCTTAATGACCCTAGATAATGCAGCTATTCTTTAGAGGTATCAAATGTTATTCCAATCTACATTATTGGTGTGGGATATGAATCCAAGTAGTGGTAACAAGGTATTTGCCACAAACTTGCAGCTTTCATCAGGACTTCATTTAAGGCCTGATCAGGCCTGTTAGAGGACTCTCTAAAGTAACTAATCTTTTATATGTTAATGGATACTCCCTTCAAGATGTCATTTTTGCATATATGAAATATTACTTTTCTTTAGTCAGACTTGTCCTAAGATGACCTGAGACTCCTTGAACTATCAGGGCCAAATTCCATCAGGATTACTAAACTAGTCACATGTTAAAGTTATTTAGCAAGTCAGCTGTATTGGCACAATGACACCAGTTATGACATGAACAACCAGTAACTGAGAAGAGATTACTTTAAAATATTAGTCTGTTTGCTGCAGCAGTCCACTTAAAGCAAATCAGAAGTCCAGATGCCCAATGTTTGCCTTCAAAGGGGAGTTTGCCCAGCTTCATGGTGACTGGGCCTTGGATGGCATCTGGGAATTGGGTGTTTGGTGATTTGTGGACCCAGTCCTTAGGACTAGGATTTGAAGTAACCTACAAATAGTCTAATAAGTCACTGGAAGGAACCACTATGATGGGACTTCGTGCTGTTCTGTGACTATTCTAAGTTGTACTTAAGCAAACTTAAAGGAGGGAAGGACAGGGATAGTGGTTAGAAAGCAAGCACCTTCAACTGCTAAATCTTGATCTCCTCCCAGGTTGTCTACCAAGTGAAAAGCTGCTCATGCTTTTCCCCCTTCTTAAGATATTGTCACTGAGAAGTGTCTGCAGCAGTCCAATGCTGTAGGGAGACACCTAGTGGATATATCTTGTATCTTACTCAATGAGAAATTTTACTCTAATTAGTGCTTCTGGAATGCTTTATACATCACTTATCACTATTTTTAAAAAATGAAGACTGCTTGGAGCAGCTTTGCAATTTTATCTAGTAAGCAATGTACAAGAAAGGCTAAGATACAGATTACTAGGGCACTTGGCCTCACTAATGTTTACACTAGACTGCTCTGCATTTGTTTTTGCTTTGCCAGTCCACAGTAAATGCTTAGGGTTTGGCTCCCTTTCACAAGGATGAATTTAAAACCTTTGGAATTATGTTTTTACAAGTACTCTTTCAGTGTGCTCATTAGCTAGTTCCCATGCCCTTTTTTGTAGCTTTTAAGTTGGAGGATGCTAGCAGATGACATATGACTGAGCCATGTTCCTCATTTGAGTTATTTTGTAACTATACATAGATCACTGTGGAGTCTGAGTCATTGAAATATAGGGCTAGAAGTGACCTCAAGAACGCAAGTCCAACTTGCTGTGCTGGAGGCAGGACCAAGTAAACCAGATGATTCCAAACAGGGGTTTGTCCAACCTCTCCATAAAAGCCTCCAGTGATGAGGGTTCCACAACTTCCCTTGGAAACCTATTCCAGAGATTAATTACCCTTATAGATACTAGAAAACCCTTTCTAACTTAGATTTCCCTTGCTGCAGATTATTTAAGATAGGACAAGTAGTTATGAGCCTAGACAGAAAAAAAATTGATCCCCCATCCTCTCTATAAACAGCCTTGAACATATTTGAAGACTGAGGAGGAACCTAAATCTTTTTTCTTCTCCCCTGCCCCCCCCGCCCCCCATATGCCCAGTTTTTAGCCTTTCCTCATAGGTTAGGTTTAAAAAAAAACACAACCAAGTATTGCTCTCCTCTGGAGTCTCCAATTCATACACTTTTCCTAGAGATGTGAGGCTTCTATTAATTTATGCATATTATGCTTGTTCAATTGCTGCAAGGATAGTTTGACTATGGACCAGGTCAAAAGGGGTCTTGTGGAGGGAAACAAAGCAGGAACCACCACAATAACTACAGACAGGATACTTCTGAGGAGAACACTTCCAGGAACATTAAGAAAACAATGTCTGGGCTATTAGTTAAGGAACCAGAGATGAAGCCTAAGATCAAAGGGACACTAAACAGTAAGTCCCACTTTGGAAAGAAAGGAGAATCTGTCAGAGGAAATTTGAAAACATTAGGTCTACCTGGCTAACATCAAGAGGATGGTGAACTCTAGGTAGATGAGCCTGTATAGGCAATTTCAAAATTTGTGTTTTATGCTAGGTGATGTTCCTTCTGTTAAGAAACATGACCTGGTTTTGAAAAGGCTATCTGGTCACTGGGGACTACTGCCCAATCTCTTCAGTTCTGCTCCTTGGAAGCTTTGTCTGCAACCCAGGCCTACTGAGGCAATCATGCATAAACAGGAGCCTGCAACCTAGGTCCTAGTCTAAGACAGGTGACAACTTAAGGCTGGACATCCATGGGCATTCAGAGGAGACAGTGGTACTGCTAGCCTGTGTCACTTGACAAGCACAAGCAATTTGTTTTTCTAGAGAGCGGTCATATAACAGAAGGGCCATTAGAGAAATGACCTAGTCTCTTATATGCATTATGGAGATCTGATCTGGACTATTCCCACATGTGACTAAGGCCCCCAATTTGCAGCCCAAGGGAAGGAGTGTCAAAAAAACCAAAAGACAAAAGAAAAAAAAACCAACAACACTAAAACCATTAGGTGAACCAGGCACATTCATCTTGAAATGCTCTTATGCCAATAAAAAAGTCTAGATTTGTGTTTTTCTATTTCATAATTATGTTTTGATGGCACACTTTAGCCCTTTCCTAAGATTCTGCAAGTGGAATAATGCAGAAATATTTTTTCCTAAGTTAGTTACCTCCATTGACTATCTAATATGGAATTTTAGACTATTTCAGATTATGCTGTAATCATGCCTTGGCTTTTACTTTAAGGTGAGCTGCATAGAGGAAAAGTCATGCTTTAAAAAAAAAGTCTGTTTTGCCTGATGTAAATAGGGTGACCAAACAAATGAAAAAATCAGGATGGAGGTGGGGGGGGTAATAGGAGCCTATATAAGAAAAAGACAAAAATGGGGACTGTCCCTATAAAATTGGGACATCTGGTCACCCTAGATGTAAAAATATAAATATATATAGGTGTATAGTTTTCCCTCCCCCGCCACCCCCAGGAAAAGTCAGATTTCTATACTATAGGATACAGACTTGAGCAAAAAAAGGGATTTTTTTGGTCCTTGTAGATGCCTGTTAGCATAAATTGGAATTAAATACGTATGTTTTTGTAAGAGGTTTTCTGCCTGTTCAGCAAGGGTCAGAAGAACTCCCTATTTCTAGTCCTCTGGAAAGATTATGTATTCTTAGCATAGTAAGCTGGTTTTGGTTTTGACATCCAGCCTTCTCTGAAGAGAATTTTCCTCCCATTCCTCCCCCACTCCCACCCCTTTCCCACTGCCAGCTGCCACAAGTCTCCTTAAGCCAAAAAGATGATCTGCAAAAGTTACAAAAAAGCTGTTAACACTTTACTTGTGTCCACTTCTGTCCTTTTTCTAGAAGAAGGAAGTGAGTATTATCTCCCAGTGATTGAAAGAACTCTTCAGTATCCACAACTGTGCCATCTTCCTCCAAAACTAGAGTAATCAGTCCAGCAGTAATCAGCAAGGCATCTAGGGCCTACAATAAAAATAGTAGATCTAATTCACAATGCTATCTGCTTTGTTAAGTTAATTCCTTCTGTCTATTCAACATTTAAGGACAGCAACCTACTCATTTGCAGAGTAGTTGAACACCAAAAGAAGGTACTGATTTGCTTCTGTTTTACCTATAAAGATCAGTTCCAACTTCCACACCAAGGAAGAGTTGTGACATCCAATATGACACCATGTGGTCCTGTACTCCACAGAGTAGTTACTCTTTTCTTCCCCCACCCCCTAATCAAGTTGCTGTGAAAGTGCACAGAACTTTCAGAGTATCTGGATCTCATGGTAATGTAAGCAGGCTTTGAGAATGTATTTAAATGCAAAGGGTTAGTTTTAAAAAGGAGGAATCCAACTACAGGTCATTAAGAATAGCTCCATAAGCAGTCTAGTTGAGTCTTTCAGAGCAAGACTCCATTTTAGTTTAGTTTTGAGACAGTATTTCCAGTATCTCCTTCTGTTGAAGGACTATGCTATGTTTCAATGAAGTTTCATCCCAAATTTGACACTAAATATCCCACAAATACATTTCTAAAAAGCCATGGTATATCTTAGACTCCAATTCACCAGGTTTCAGAATTCAGAGCCTCAAAAATGAGAGCCTATATTTCAGTCATTTGACTTAGCCCAGGGTAAAGTAAGTGTTGCTCTCAGAGAATTGAGACCAGAAGGCCTAGGTATTATGTTCTTACTGACAAGTAGTTTTAAGTCTCAATCAAGTGTTTGATATACCTTGCTAATAAGCTCCTGCAGACTGCTTGCAACAACTCCTTTCCGACTGCTGCGGTCATGATTTGATACACGGAAGGGTCGGGCTGCAGGTGTGAGAGGAGGGAATAGGGTCTGTCTCGTCACCGACCCCACAGATGTTCCCATGGATACCAGAGATCTAAAAGCAGTTTATTTTAATTAAAATGACAAACATTAAGATTAGTCATTGTGATTTATGCATTCACTATATAATGCTCATATGTAGTTCTCACAGGCCAGTTGAGACCAGACTAGTTTCTTTAAGGTGGTCAGGGATCAAAGTTGTTTCAATAAAACTAGTGTATTTGCTTTCTTCTTGGCAAGATAATGATTTTCAGTTTTAGAACTGTATCGACATTTGGGACCAACTTGGCCAGGTCACCACTGGTCCCAGTCCTGCTTACAATGACTGACATTCTTTAATAGGATATTGCAGCATTTCTCAAACTGGGGTCTGTGGACTCCTGGGGGTCCCCAAGTGTACCCCAAGGGGTCTGCAGGTTCTGCTGATCAACTCCTTCCCCTCCCTGCACACAAAGTCCGGCAGCGCAGCAGGGCAAAGGCAGGCTTCCTACCTGCCCTGACTCCGCGCCGCTCCCAGAAGTGGGTGGCACATCCCTGAGGCCCCGGGGGTCTCCTTGCTTAGAGCAGCTACCTTTCCAACTTAGTTTACTTCAGCACCATTGTTTATCTTACAGATAAGGAAACTGATCTTTCATTTGGCTGATGCATTTGAATAGCTGTATGAAAGAAAGTTCTTTACTAGATAAGACAAGCCAGTTTTAGTCTAGTAAATTGTAATGCATACATGGTTGTGGGTCCCATCAACACAGTGCCTCTGCATCCACCTGCTATGAGGCAGGGATTCACCTGGATAACTTCCATTATTACATCACCAAAGCACTGGGGGTTTACATACCTGTTGCAAGTAGCAAGCTAGCTAGCAGGAGCTATTTTAAGATACAACCCATTACTTCTCTGCAGCACTGGCTTTGTCAAGATTTGAAAATCTGCCAGTGATGCAGCAAGTTAGATGCCCCAGGTAGCCTAATCACTGGAATGACTATTTTACTAGTGTTCAATTTGATGCAATTATTTGGCTGAAGTTAGATTTATTTGCTTGAAATTAGATTTATTATAGTGAATATGATAAAAATCTTCCCTGAGCCCATTTAATTCAGCTGAGGATGCATGGACTAAGTTTGTTGCTCTGAAAGTCAGAGATTGCTAGTTTTGACTATCAAGTTATGTTTTGGTTCTAGTTCCTGATAAGTGCCTCTCACAGGTTTAATTCTGGCCAGACATATCCTTCACTTATACTGGCTTTGTTCTTCATAATCAGCAACATATTCTTAGTTTGAGATTCACTTAATTCAAGAAGTATTCTTTTGATTCATATTTATTCCATGTGTAGTTGAAGCCATTGCTTGCTGGATGGTTTTTCCCTCCGAAGAGGAAATTCAGCACATGAGGTACTAGGCATCACTGATAATAATCAGATACAGTGCAAAATTCAACATTGTAAGTTTTCCTGCCATACCAGTGTGCACTTCAACCCTGATTTGAACTTATCCCTGGGGCGAATTGGCATTTTTCTGCTCAGTTACCAATTTCAGCAAAGAATTACAGTACAGTTAAGTTTTTGTGATGTAGGTATTTGCTCTTGAACTTATGCCTAGTGACAAATGTGATCAGTTTTTACCTTTTGAATGCTAGCAATATGGATTTGATTTGGATAAGTAGCATACAACCAAGAAGTTTCATATCCCATCATCAAGCTTAAGGCCCCCATAGTAGGAAGCTGTCTGCAACTTTTTCAAACAGGAAGCATACATCACTTTTATATAAAAGTTACTTTGCCAGTACAGTACTAGAATCGATCATAATCAAAAGGACCCTACAAGCCCAGGTGGAACAGTTGAGGTTTGAGGATATTAAGTGTCACAGTTTACTTTCTAACTACACCTCTACCCCGATACAACGCTGTCCTCGGGAGCCAAAAAAAAAATCTTACCACGTTTTAGGTGAAACCACGTTATATTGAACTTGCTTTGATCCACCAGAGTGCGCAGCCCCCTCCCCCCAGAGCGCTGCTTTACCGCATTATATCTGAATTCATGTTATATCAGGGTAGAGGTGAACTAAGCTGAACTAAGCCTTGTGAAGTCTTATTTTGCCAAGAAGGGAATTTGTTCAGGCAGAAGCATAAGAAAAAAGCAAAAGGCCAAGGCATATATTATGTATCAATAAGAGTTACTGACAGAACAAGGAAGCATCATGTGGGCTTTAGGTTTAGGATTCAGAGCCAAGTAAGAGCTTGGGTTCAGGTTAAATAGCTCAAGAGCTGAGCTTATATGATTTCTGCCATCTTGTGCTGCTATTTGTCCAATTTTGGCACCCAAATCCTCCAGTAGTATCAAAATATAGTGCCCAGTTTTGGATCCAACATGTAAACAAGGCCACAGGATCACATTAAGATTCAAGATTCTCATTCGAATTACCTTTTTTGGGGATATGAACAGGTTCAGAATTGAAGTTCTCTAGTACTACCATCAGTCACGGTTTCCATCTATGATACCTGCCTACATTTATAGTAAGACTGTCACTGCAATATTTAACCTGAAACTGTTACTGCCTGTTCAGGTAGCTGAGAACTCTGGGTTCCCAAGTGGTAGAGCAAACATGATTCTCTTAGTGATAGGAGCCATCAGTGACTGCTTGCCTTTTTACCTATTTGGACACCAGATCCAATTCTTACATGTCCATAGTGACTGCAGCCAAAGACTTTTAGATATACTAATCCAGATTCTTGGAACCCAGTCTGGCTGCTTTATACAGTAGCAATTAGAAAGCAGCCTTTGAAACAGACAAGTGGATGCCTGATGCAAGGGAATCCTCAGGTGGCTTGGTGTCACCGCAAGACTTGGTACCCCACAATCTACTGTGTAAAGAAAAAGTGACAGCCAAGAAAGGAAAATAGTGCAACAATAGCAAGAAATGCTAATTACATTTAATAACTTCATTATTAAGTTAAGTTAAACAGGCCCACAACTGTTTTATTATTAAACTACAAGGGGTATGTTTTAGGGAGGCAGTGAGGGTCAGGGCCGGCTCCAGGCACCAGCTTAACAAGCAGGTGCTTGGGGTGGCTAAAGGAGAGGGGCAGCACCTGTGGCAATTCGGGGGTGGCAGGTCCTGCACTCCCTCTAAGAGCGAAGGACCTGCCCCTGAACTGCCGCCGCCGATCGCGGCTTTTTTTTTTTGCTTAGGGCGGCAGAAATGCTGGAGCCGGCCCTGGTGAGGGTACAGGTATTTTACTCTGTCTAGGCAGTAATACCAGTTCCAGGGCATGGAAGAGTTTTCTACAAAGGTACACAACCATCATCCTCAAACTTTAGTAATCTGCTAAACTTGGTGTTAGAGCCATATTAGAAGTTCTTCATTTTTGAACTAGGAACTTGCATAGTATTCCGAACACTTGTTTTTAGAATGGAGACATGTAGGATTCATAATTCATCTACTTTTCAGTGGGTGGTACTTTATAATGAACCCTGTGCACACTGTTGGCTGAAAAGCTTGAGACAGCTTGCAGACAACATCCAGGGTGTCATGCATGGTTGTCTAAGTGATGTGGTGCAACAGCCTTCAGTCATGCTCAGAAGTCACAAGTTGCACAACACCAATCTATAGCCTGTTTGTGACCTTTAGATTAGAGTAAATTGACTAAAAGGGCTACCCTTAGCATCAAGAGAGTGAATCAGCTAAAAGTGATGCAGTTAGTGTTTCAGGGAGGAAGTGCTATTAGCATTTCCCCAGACTATGCATTTTAGAGCTCTCTCTAAAGTTCTGTGAATGATAAAAAAATTACTGGAATAGCTAATTTAGATTAATTAGAATGTACACGATGAAGACAGGAATGAGACAAATTTAAGACTGCTCCATAGTGAGAACTGTCTTTTTAGACATACTGAATAGCTGAAACACAAATATAGATTTAAGTCTTAAGTCACATCTTAAATTTAATGGTTGACCCATGAGCCTTACACTTTCTTGGCATGACAGCTGGTTGTTTAGTACAGTGGTTTTCAAACTTTTTCTGAGGACCCAGTTGAAGAAAATTGTTGATGCCTACGACCCAATGGAGCTGGGGATGAAGGGCTTGGGGTGTGGGAGGGGCTCAGGGCTGGGGCAGAGGGTTGGGGGTGCAGGGGTGAGGGCTACAGGGTGGGGCTGGGAATGAGGGGTTCAGGGTGTGGGAGGGGGCTCCGGGCTGGGGCAAGGGATTAGGGTGCAGGCTCTGAGCTGGGGCCAGGGATGAGGGGTTTGGAAGGCTCAGGACTGGGGCAGGGGGGTTGGGGTGCAGGAACAGATTTACCTCTGGCATCTCCCAGTCAGCAACACAGCCGGGGTGCACCACAGACCACTCTGTGCCCTGGAAGTGGCCAGCAGGTCTGGCTCCTAGGTGGAGGCACTCAAGCAGCTCCGCGTAACTCACCCGCAGGCACCGCCCCAGTTCCCATTGGCCGGTGCGGAGCTGGTGCTTGGGATGGGGGCAGCACATGGAGCTCTGTGCCCCCCCCCCCACCTAGGAGCCAGACCTGCTACTGTCCGCTTCCGGGGCACAGTGCAGTGTCCGAAAGGGTAAGCACTAGCCTGCCTTAGCTGGGCAGCACTGACAATGGGACTTTTAATGTCTCGGATGGCGGTGCTGACCAGAGCAAGGCGACCCAGCGCCTGACATGCCATGATCCAGTACTGGGTCGCGACCCACAGATTGATTGGTTTAGTATATACTATGGTGCAGTAAATGTACCATTTGCTAGTTTTACTGCCAGAACATTGTACATATGATTTAGTGTCCTGTATTTAATTAAAGCAAAGGAACTTTTGTTTACTTGCTATTATCTTTTATAAGATCTCAATCATCAAGATGCAAGTGTTAGGCAACTAAGAATTGAAACAAACTCCAGAATGCCAAAGCTTATAATCAAGACAGTGGGAGTTTCACCTTCAAATGCTATAGAACACAAGACCAATCACAATTTTGTCTAGTCTTTAAAATTACCTTATTGTTTCCTTTCAGTCTCAATTTTCAAACATTTGAGATTTAATAGCAGTGTATACAGTTACTCCTGAAGCAACGGAGCTAACTGTACTCCTGCTGTAGTACCAATACTATGACAGAGCCATGGCTATCGTCTAAAAATAGTTTGATCACTGTTAAGACACTTGACCCAAATCTTTGTTCTTTTAAAAAAGAAGTGGATGAAAGGAGACACTAGGAAAAAAAAGTTTCCTTTTCAGTACAACGAACGTGCAACTATGTTGCGATTCCTTTTCATACGGAAACTGCTAATCCACTACCATCTCTTCTGTCTCCTTAAAACAAGGCTAGTTTCAGAGGAAGCAAGATGCCAAGCTCGGACGCACGGGGTTTTCAGCAGGTGAAGTCATCACTACAAGGCACTGCAGCTTTTATATTAAGCCAGAAGGTGCGGGCGCTAGGTTGCTTCCAAGAGCGCCAGGTAACATCTGCGAGTTACATTTTCAACAGCAGCTATCGAAAGGTTTCGAGTGAGCCAGAGAGCCCCCCCGGCTGCGGGATCCCCCGGGATTAGGGCAGGCGGAGGGCGAAGCGGATTGCTCGGCGGCCCACGGGCTGAGCCCCGGCAGCAGCATATGGGCGGGGAGGCTGGAAGCCCCCGCGTTTGGATCCAGCCTCGGATCCCCGCTGCGCTTTGCTAGTCTCGGGCCGGTGCACCCCCGGGGACACGCGCTCACTTACCGCACCAGGGTGCCGGCGTAGTCCCGAGCGCTCTCCATGCTGTGCCGTGCCGTGCTGAGCCGGGCGCCGCGCCAACAACCACCAGCCTAGGAACTACCCGCGGCCGCCGCTACTTATGCCGGCAGCTGGCCCCGCCCCCGACCGAGCGAACCCCGCCCACTCATGGGAAGCCACGCCCATTATCATCTCCCCCCTCCCCCATGCTCAGCCGCGCCCACTCCTAGTGCCCTCCTGGCGGGGGTGCGGAGCTGCTGGGGTTCGCTTGAGCCCGGGCGTGAGGGATGGGGCCGCAGTGCGGGTCAGAGGGGGGAGGGGTAATGGGGGGGTTGACTGGAGAAGGCTTAAGGTAGAGGGGAGGGTCAGAGAGTGAGAATTGGGGTGGGGGAGGGAAGATGAGCAGGAAAGGTGGAGAAGGGACCGGGGAAGAAGTGGGTGGGGTTGACTGGAGGGGCAGGGACCACATCAAAACATTTATTGGCAGGCTGCAGCCCCCTGGCTGTTGCGAGAGTGCAAAGGACACGGGCTGTTTCTCAGAGCAGGCGGCTGGATGCACCAGGCATCCCGCTTACTTATCTTCATAATGATTAAGGAATAAATGGGGCTTGGTCCCCTCTGCCTATGTATCACTGATGACTGTTTCTGATTCCCTGGTAGCCAATGTGATGGTCTCTTCACTGTCACTTTATTTTCCCTGCTTTGGTTTTGCACAATTTTTCCTCACTACCTTTTAATAGAAAGCTTTCTATAGATTTTGTTCGTGTTTGTCTTTGTACAGTACATTCTGATGCGATCATAGAGGTTTTCTGGTGGGTATAGGTTGAGATGGCCATAGGCTGATAAATAGAGCAGTGGTGTGACTACTATGGCATGACTCCTCTGCAGCTGGTGTGTTCGTTTACATCTGTGCAAAGTGGGTATAAAACGAATAGCACATTAAAATGGTAGTGTTCGCCCAGGTGTAAACTGAGTATAAAAGCTTCCAAGCCACTGTAGAATCAGTGGGCTGTAGCCCACGAAAGCTTATGCTCTAATAAATTTGTTAGGCCTGGTCCACACTAGGACTTTAATTCGGATTTAGCAGCGTTAATCCGAATTAACCCTTCACCCGTCCACACTACGGAGCCTGTTAATTCGAATTAAAGGGCCCTTTAAATCGATTTCTGAACTCCACCTCGACGAACGGAGTAACGTCAAAATCGATTTTGTTAATCCGAATTAGGGTTAGTGTGGCCACAAATCGATGTTATTGGCCTCCGGGAGCTATCCCACAGTGCACCACTGACCGCTCTGGACAGCATTCTGAACTCGCATGCACTGGCCAGGTAGACAGGAAAAGACCCAGGAAAATTTGAATTGCATTTCCTGTTTCCTGTTTGCTCAGCGTGGAGAGCACAGGTGACCCCAGATACCTCAGCTCATCAGCACAGGTAACCATGCAGGCTGATAATCGAAAAAGAGCACCAGCATGGACCACACGGGAGGTACTGGATCTGATCGCTGTATGGGGTGAGGATTCAGTGCTAGCAGAACTTCGTTCAAAGAGACGAAATGCCAAAACTTTTGATAAAATCTCCAAGGGCATGATGGAGAGAGGCCACAATAGGGACTCAGATCAGTGCCGCGTGAAAGTCAAGGAGCTCAGACAAGCCTATCAAAAAACAAAGGAGGCAAACGGTCGCTCCGGGTCAGAGCCGCGGACATGCCGCTTCTACGCAGAGCTGAATGCAATTCTAGGGGGGGCCGCCACCACTACCCCACCTGTGATCGTGCAAACCGGGTCTGGGATAGTCTCTACACCTGAGGATTCTGAGGGTGGAGAAGAGGAGGAGGAGGAGGAAGAGGAAGATCAGGATCTTGCAGATAGCACCCAGCACTCCGTTCTCCCCAACAGCCAGGAGCTTTTTCTCAGCCTGACTGAAGTACCCTCCCAAGCCTCCCAAGCCAGTAGCCAAGACCATGACCCCATGGAAGGGACCTCAGGTGAGTTTACCTTTTAAAATATAAAACATAGTTCAAAAGCAAGGTTTTTTAATGATTATTTTGCCCTGAGGACTTGGGATGCATTCGCAGCCAGTACAGCTACTGGAAAAGTCTGTTAACGTGTCTGGGGATGGAGCGGAAATCTTCCAGGGACATTTCCATGAAGCTCTCTTGCAGGTACTCCAAAAGCCTTGCCACAAGGTTTCTGGGCAGTGCCGCTTTATTCCGTCCTCCATGGTAGGACACTTGACCACGCCATGCTTGCAGCAAGTAATCTGGTATCATTGCCTGACAAAGCCTGGCAGCGTATGGTCCCGGTGTTTGCTGGCATTCAAGCAACATCCGTTCTTTATCTCGCTGTGTAATCCTCAGGAGAGTGATATCGCTCATGGTAACCTGCTTGAAATACGGGAACTTAATTAAGGGGACAGAGGTGGCCGTTCCTACTGTGCTGTTTGCCTGTGGCTGATAAGAAATCCTTCCCTGCAGTTAGCTTTTAGCAGGGGTGGGTGGGGGGGTGAGTTTGGTTTCAGCAGGGA